CCCCACTCTGGGCTCCTGACACTTTCTACAACTTTTTTTATACTGCTACTCCTTGGCTCCTTCTTACTGCTGCCTTTCAACCACACCCTTGATCTTATGGTAGGTAAGATCGAACATCTAGCCTTCTCGGAATAGGGCTAAACATCTCGAAGGTTCCGTTCCGCGTGCATGTTGCAGCCGTTCAAGATCCCTTAATGGTTGTCCTAAAATCGATAAGAGTAGGCTTCGGCCGCCATCCGGGCAAAATAAAAAAATTCGCACCAAACTGAAAACGTTTCATAATGTGTCCCATGGGCTCATATGACTTTATGCGGTTGCGAGCGCGGTAAAACACGTATCAAAACAAACAAAACAAAAGAATAACATTAGGTTCACCGTGACAACTTGTAGGTTATTAAGTATCCTTAAAGTTCTAGTCAAAAGTGTGTTCTATTAACATCTTTAGCATTAATTACGGTGGCATTTTGGAGAAACCAGCGTGCCAGAATTTCAACTCCCTGGATGATAACAACTATGATTACCGAATATGGTTAATGGTAGTACCATCAGAGATGATGAAGGTGGTTAGAGTGTGTTGTTAAAAACTGAGGTAACATAAAGTGCAATCGAAGTTGTCCAAGACGGCTAACAATTGTCGAAAAGAAAAGTGGCTGTCTCTTCACCAATTAGATTTAAGTGTTATTTCTGAAAACCATCTCGCCTTTTCTCGGCAATAAGATCACTACCGTGTCGACAAATGTAGTCCCATTTATATTGTCAAGTAGAAAAAAGTTAACACATTAACTATCAAAAATATTCAAGTACATGTTCCAGTCTTGAAAATGAACCGGCTCCCACCAAATGATGAACTTAAACAATTATTACAACAACAAACAAAAACAAAAACACCCCCCACCCACCCCCCCAAAAAAAAACAACAACAAAGAAACAAAACCAACAAAAACGATAACCCCTCCACCCCCCCTCCCAACTTTAACCTAAAAAACAGTTCATAACGTTATATGAAACGTGTACGGAATACATCATTAACTTATGCATTGGTCTTTCTGTACTCCTGCAATTATATTCAGAGGAACCCCCCCCCCCCCAACAAAAGCAACAAATCCAAAACGGACAGCGCACCGCGTCTAGCTTTGTTGCGCCAACTGCTATTAAGTAGCCTATATCACTTAAAAGAACACGTGCTGACTCCAACAACGTCAGCTGGCAATCTCGATTATACTTGCTAATGATGTCCACATAACTACGCGCGCGCGCCCCTATAAGTTTTAGCATAGACTTATATTATTATATCGTAGACAGCACATTCTGACGTAATTCCGGTTCTCTATGGACCGCACGATTTGACTTAGTTTGGAGTCAAACAAAAGTATGGTTTGCTCCTTGTTTTCTGTCAATGACCAATCATCCATTGTCCTTATTTCTCCTTCTTTTTTGTGTTTGTTGCTTTGTTGTAACACCACTAATCTTCCGCACTTATATGATCTAACTGTGTTGCATGAGCCGTAAAACACTTACTAAAACAAAAATGAAGGGCGGGGTTGAGGGGGGGGGTGCCACGCGCACTCGACTCTACTGAATCTGGTGTGTTACCTTTTGTGTGACTACCCATGGTGCGCACACTTCGCAGCAAAGTTTTTATAGCGAGAAAAGAGCGACGGTCATGTCAGGGCACAATCTAAGATATTTATTTGAATTGATATCTATGGGTTCAGTCACTTTATGTAGTCAAGCCTCCTCTCTTCTCCCTACCCTACCCTTTCCAGCCCTGCTCCACCCCTTTTTTCGCCCCCCCACCCCCCCCCCCCAAACAAAACACAAAAAAACAACAACAAACAAACAAACAAACAAAACAACATAAAAAACAACAAAAAAACAAAACTAAACAAAAACAAAACAAACAAAACAACAACAACAGCAAGAAAAAACAACAACAACAAACCAACAAATAAAAAAACAAACCAAACAAACAGCAACATCATGAAAAAACCCCCAACAACAACAAACCAACAAAGCAAAAAAAAAAAAAGAAAAAAAGAAAACAATAGAGAAAACAATAGAGAAAACATAACACGGCAAGACCAATACCAGAACAAGTAATACTAGTAATACTGCACAAACAATGTATTGCAACAATTGGAAGCCCTGCTTTTTGCTGTTGCTGCTCTCGCTACTGCTTCTGCTTCTGGTTCTGCTTCTGCTTCTGCTACCATAACACCAACACCAACATCAACACCTACCACAACAACAACAACAACAACAACAACAACACCAACAACAACACCACCACCACCAACAACAACAACACCAACAACAACACCAACAACAACATCAACACCTACATCAACACCTACCACAATAACAACAACAACAACAACAACAACAACAACAACAACAACAACTACTACTACTACTACTACTACTACTACTACTACTACTACTACTACTACTACTTTGCTACTATTGTTGCTGCTGTTGCTGCTACTACTGCTACAGTTGCTGCTACTGCTGCTGCCAACACTACTGCTGCTGACGTTACTGTTACCGCTTCTGTAACTGGTGCTGCTACTTTCTTCTACCACAACAGCTGTCGTTGCTACTTCTGCTAACGGCTCTACTCTTCTGTTCCTCTTGCTACAACCAGAAGGCCTACTCATTTTTTGTCTCTCTCGATGCTCTCTCCCCGTGAGACCTGCACTGCAACCACAGTGTTTCCTTTGTTGATTTTGCCAGATCTCGGTAGCTGATATTGTCTTTGCTTGCGAGGAGACGAGCTGGGCAAAGCTCTATCAGATTGAGAGTTGATGGCGTGGTGAGAAAGAAAGCAATGCCAGCATGATTGCTTGTTTGAAAGGTACGGTCGACGAGTGTAAAGTGAAAAAGGGCGTCGCTCGGAGATGGGTGTTGGTCTTCATCCACTGTGAGTTTTTGTTAACTGTCATTGCGTTTGTCTCAGCTTCAGTTCTATCAAAGGTGTTGGGCATACATAGCAGGGAAGCAAGCAGCTCAAGTGTCGTAACTCAGAGTTTGGGCCAAAAAAAAGCAACCCCCCCCTCACTTTCATACATATTCCAGGGCACTGGAAAGAGACGCATGTCCTGAAAAACCTCAACATCGAGAAATTATTTTGATAAAATACACTTAAAATTGAAATTCCACATAATAGTGTTAGGGCGTACGTGTTCGAAAGGTTACGGTATTCGCCTTTCATTCAATAGGTCACGGGTTCGAATCCGGATAAGGACGGAACATTTTCTTCTCTAAAACTGTCTCCTTTCATCTCCTTTCCTCATCTCAAACAATGTTTACGTTCTGTCGTCTGCTTTCGCCTCCACTTTCTGCCCCCACCCCCTCATCTCCTCTGTGCTCCTGACACTTTCTGCAGCCTTTCAACTGCCACTCCTAAGCTCCTTCTTACTGCTGTCTTTCAGCCACACCCCTGGTCTTATGGTAGGTCAGATCTAACCCTTAGCCTTCTTGGATACGGGCGAAAATCTCGGGGGTCACGTAGGCAAGCTGTGCACGTTAAAGATCCCTTGGTGGTCCAAAATCCATAAGGGTAGGCTTCGACCGCCACCCAGGAACCTTAATGTGTCAGGCGCACTCATATGACCTTATTCTGTTGCCAGCGCCATAAAACATTTACCATCCCCACAACCCCCCCCCAAACAAAACAACAAACAACTAAATAAACAACAACCAAAACACACCCCTCCTATATTGTTGAAGGTTCTATTGGTGAAAAATTACGATAATTGTACTGCTATTTCCAGCAGTATGGGAATTGGTTGAAGTTGCCAGTCATCACCATTGTGTCAATTCATGCAGCATACATTTTGTCTGTGTTTAGGGAAGAAGAAAACAATTTCTTTGAATATCTTCAATACTGCATTTTAATTTAAAAAAAACAAAAACAACAACAACAAAAAAACACAACCAAAAACCAAAGTGATTGGTGGACTCTTACAAAACATAATTTGCTACACTGTGATCGATTCCGTCGAATGACCATCCTTTTTTTGATGATGGGCGTCTTGTCTTTACCCTTTCATTGCAGAAACATTTTCATTTAAATTTATACAGACGAGACAAAAGGTTAATTCCAGAGAGCTCAAAACGGAGCCATTATAATAATATTTCTCCCCCATCTTTAAGAATAAACTACAGCGCAAGTCGTTATTACTTCTCCTGACAAGTCTCTTATACACTAAGCCATTAGAAAAATGGCAGAGACTTCTTTGGAGAATGCTAGTGATTTCACACGTCTACATGCATACATTTTAATAACCATGAAGAGGTAAACCCAACGGTTCACTGCCAATATTTTACCCCCTCTCCCATAGAAACAATTGCCGAGACTGTCCGCTTCGAACCCGCCAGTCAGGCAGGGCATATCTTGAACTGCTCCAGCAGATTGATGGAGATGCTTCAAAAGACATTTACTATCTTTCTCCATGGGAATCGAGACATCTTTTTGTAAAGTAAGTTTTGATTGCTTCAGACACAGACGCCGTTGCGGGCGATTTAAGGACGCAATTCTGTGGCTTTAATTTTACTATCAGGTAATGAATGTTATATCCGTTGGTCTATTAGACCATATTAAAATGTATGCTGATCAAATGAAACTCGTCGCTTGTTTCTCAAAGACTATTTTCAAGAAGTCGTATACCAGTGAATTCAGCAAAATAAGTCACTGGCTAAGAATATACACCTCACAAACGTTCTAGACAAAATCATGCTCGATCTGTTGTCGTATACAAAGATCACATCTTAGAACTAGAACCCCCCCCCCTCCCCCTAAAAAAAATCCCCAAACCAAAAAATCCACAAAAACTAAACAACAACAACAAAACAACCCCCCCCCCAAAAAAAAACAACAACAACCCCCAAACAACCCCCAATGAAACAAAATAGACAATACCAGAAAATAAATATTTGAAGAGAAGTGACTTGGGTATTGATGCCCAATCTGTTGTTGTTGTTGTTGTTGTTGTTGTTGTTGTTGTTGTTATTGTTGTTGTTGTTGTTGTTCTTCTTCTTCTTCTTCTTCTTCTTCTTCTTCTTCTTCTTCTTCTTCTTCTTCATTAATTCATTAATTCACGTAAGCTGTCTTTGTGGCAGAATGTTGAATACCGAGACTTCACCCCCAGACACAGAGATTGTCCTGCAGTGGGCTGGGCACTCTAGAAGGAAGGAGGTCAACTCGCTGTTATGCCCATGAACCACAATGTCGAACCAGAGAGTCGTCAAATCCAAAGTTGACGCACAGTGGTCGGAGTCTTGAACAGTATGTTCTCGAGCTCACCACAGCAACAGTCTTCCCTTTACAGGATATAATTGCTACCGTGGCTTTTGAATGATTGATCATTTTGTCTGATGTACATACGTATCTTTCCGTAACCCTACAAACGAAGGTGGTTCAGCAGGTCGTTCTGATCAATAAATAAACGAGTTATTGGGTCTGCTGCTAAACCCCTCCTCATGGCTATCTCCTGAAGTAAACACTTTCAGCGTCTATGTACTAGGTTATGGTATGGTAAAGGGAACGTCCCTTCCTACGATTTACTTCTCTCTTGCCCAAAGAGCAACAGGTATAAACACACATGGGGCTTTTGGGTGATGGAGTATGGGTGGGGTTAGTACACAAACATTACTATTCAAGACTTGAGCCAGCCAACAACACTTACCCGACGATGCTTGTCCCCAGCATTTTCCTGCGGGAAGAGACAAAAAAGTGAGCAATATAATATTTAAGAATCTAATTGTGTTGATTTTTGGCTGTAAGAAAGGTGAGTTACTATGGCAGCACAGCACGGCACAGCAACCCATCCCCTCACCTCACCCACCCCCAAACTACCATCCACACTCTAAATTAACAAAATGAGGCGGCATGAAGAGAGATTGTAACGAACACATGGTCCGAAGGTAGACCCATGTTCCCTCCCTGGAAAGTGAAAGCATCGTAAATGTCAAACCCAAGATGAAATCCCATTACCTCCTTATACGACTACCGGACCGTTCTTTACACACACCCTTACAGCATTCTTTCAACAAGTTATAGTCTCAGTAGGGTTGGTGATTGACAAACATGTAAAGATTCGGGGGTTCGAGGCTAAAAGGGACCAGAACGGTATGACTTTTTCTTGCCATTTCAGTGTCGTTTTCCCTCTTAGTCTGGCATGCACTGGCGTTTGCGGTGTAATGGTTAGACTCTTCACCATAGCACGCAGAAGATCCGTCTTTGATTCTCGAGTGGAGATAATTTTTTATTGAGTCTTTCTGCTGGGACATTTATCCCGGGTTACTCTGCTGACAGGACAGGCAAGGTCGAAACCTGCCTCTTAAATGATGGAAAATTGTGTCGATCAGGGCATAAACCTACGTTTAAAAAGTCTGGCGTGCAGGGGAACCAAGAAGTATAAGTCCTGTATAAAAAATGACCCACTTTGTGTTTAATGAGAACACTCGACACCCTCGCTGACCTACAAAAGGAAGAACAATTAGGGTTAATGTGCTGTCAGTTTAATCCGACCTTCACACTTGGTAAAAGGTCAAAGATCACATTGCTCGCTTTCTCCCTTGTATCCTCCGCTCGTGATCTTCACAGCCGGAGACAGATCACAACAACCTCTACACGTGAAAACAAACACGTGAAAGACAGATTCCAACCTGCATTGACAGCACAACGGACAGCACCTGACGTCATCAGGGAGGGCTTGCTGGCGAGTTACTCTGCACGTGCGTGTTAAGCTTTATCCCCGAGAGAAAATACGTGACTCTACGCTCGTCCCATTTCTTAAGTTACTCAGAGAGAGAGAGAGAGAGAGAGAGAGAGAGAGAGAT